TATTGTATTTGATTATTATTACATTGTAATGTTGTTAGTTATTTCGTTTTAGTTGACTACTTCGTTATTTGATGCTTTTCTTTTATAATTTTATCTACATTTCGTTAATGCATCATAAACGCGGGAAAGTACTACGTAAAAAAGTATTTTGAAAAGGAGAAAAATCTAGAACATTACCTCCCATTGCAACATAGTAATGCAAGGGCGGGTATGGGAATAGGATTGTCAAAGAATACAACCACTCGAATTAATAAAGAAGTTGAATACATAGTTTAGCTATCCGTTTTTAACACCCGAATTCGGAGTGTGTATTAATGGGTATTCGTTTTATTCGAGTGTTGTCTATTTTTAAGGTTCCGTAACCAAAGTGTGCCCAACGGAACCCCAGGTCTCTTTGTCGCAGGTCTGTAATTTTTTAATCATTAGCAACTATAATGGTCACCGTAATGACAAATAATGAAAAGTTAATAAAAAGTTAAAACCCAAGAGGCTCTTTAAATAAGAAACCTCGTTTTTTGTAACTGCTCTTTCTTAAAAATGTTAATACCATCACAGACACTATGTATATTTTTTCTAATTATCACTATAATTATACTGCATACTCTGTACTTAGATTAGAAATAATGAAAACAAGATAAACAGTCAAAACAAGATAGAATTGGTGGCACAGAACCCTAGGAGCACGGGTTTAACTTGGGCTTGACCGGATTATTAATATTTATTTTTTATTTTTAGTTGATCTTACGAAGCTCCAAAAAAGACTAAGAGCACGCAGCAACACTAGTGTTTCAGTAGACAGTTTCACACTGGCTGGGACAAGGGGTATCATATCTTCTATATAAGATACACATAAAATAAAATATTAGTCCCTACAAAAAAAAAAGTTGAATCTTCACAGGATCGGAAACGAAATTTAGTGTAATTTAAGAAAAAGTTAAGATTTCGAAATGCTGAAAAAAATAGGACGGTTTTACTGGAACCATTGAGTTATATGTACTATGTACTAGAGAAGCCATTCTAAACAAAAAAATGTGCACTACTCTATGTCTCGGCGCATGCGCGGGAGATAGTAGAGTCGCGCATACGCAGTTGCGCCACCACAGACTAACTAGTAGATTGAAACCACACTGAATGACACACTGTACGGATTGCAGTACAGTTCAGTTGAACATAGTGTATGTTCAGAATGCACAATCTAGTACGTAGTACATATATGTCGATGACTGGAACGAAGTAATATTAAAGCCTGGAAAGCGAAATATCTTTGCCGAATCCGTTGCAATGAGACTACGTGCTAATAAAAAACCTGTTATCTTTTTAGACGAGATTTGAAACCACGCTCATTACAAGGTGTCGAAATGTTGGCAATCGGAGATAGATAAAGAAGTCCGCAAAACTGACAGTCCAGGACAAAGGTGGATAATTGTGCATGCAGGTTCAGAAAATGGATTTGTAAAGGGCACCCTTTACAAGTTGTTTACCCTTTAAGGCGACACCGCGAAAAAATGCACCTCCTTTCATCGAATAGTATAGGAGTATGACACGACTAACGAAACTGGAATTTTGATATAGGTAAATTCATGTCTTTATCTTGAATTTGCTTGTTCAAAAACACGATTGTAAACTTTTGACTCGATCATAATTATTTGCGAAAACACCTCCAAAAAGTCACTATAGATGAAATTACAACGAAATTACTTAATCTATATGCTTGGGAACCACTCAAATACATTCATAACATCTATATTCGTAATTCACTTGCTCATTATTTTCATTACTAAAATCAACAATTTTTTAAAAATATTATAAGATTCTAAGCGATTTCTGAGCGATCTAAATCGTCGCGGGCGCTACGCAATTTTAGACCTTATGACGGCGTTTTTGAAGTTTTTATAGAAATTATGTTTCACTCGGGTCAGTCCGGCGATAGCCCGCTTCAACGGTTTTCGATGTGTCGCATTAAGAGTTGATTTTTAAGGCCAAATCTAAAAATGAAGGTTTATCGACCAAATCGGCGATACATTAAAAATGGGCCAGATTAGGAGTACCCTTAACCGACGAGCGTGTATGCGTAGATATAGGGATGTAAAAGAGGCGAGAGAGGTGTGTCAGGATCTCGCCAAATGGAAGTCCGTAGTCTCTGCCTACCCCTCTGGGTGACAGGCGTGAGTGTTTATGTATGTAAATCTAAAAATGACGTTTACCATAATTAAATGAATGGGCAAAATTTCACTAAATATATTATGGAAAAATTAATAACAAAAATCCCTAAAAGCACAATCGCCATATCACAGCATGCAAGTAAAGAAACCTACATCAGTAGCAAACCAAAAAGCTGATGAAGCCATGAAACGTCAAGATTACCAACATACAACTGTCATCTCGTTAGAATCATCATTCTCTAAACCATTTCCCATTATCTGGGGTCGGCGCAGTAAATCTTTTTGTTCCATTCCTCTCTATCAGCCGTCATTTCCATACTCACTCCTTTCATTCTCATATCACTCTTCACACAATCGATCCATCTTTTATTCGGCCTTCCTCTGCCCGTGTGTCCCTCCACATGTCATCTCGTTAGAATATGTGCGGAAAATGAAATCACATAAAAATATTGGAAAATGATTATTGAACGAGGGAAGTAACGAATAAAAATTACATGAATGAAGACTTTATAATTAATGTTATGCGATGAAAATGACGATGAGTTGTCCGGAATTGAAGAGCACAATTGAACTTTCCAAGATTACATATTATATGTAAAAATATGTCTATAGAGTTTTTTGCCTCTCTTATAACTGAAGTGTCTGTCTGTAATATCGAAATAACTACCTTTTATTGAGCTGGAGGTATTTAGATGGCATTGGGACATAAGTAACCATTTTTAAAATTTTCTTCTATCTGTTTGTCCGTCCGAGCTAATCTTCGGAACGCCTACAGCAGTTGTAATAAAACTTAACGAATAAATAAATAGTAATGGCATCAGATAATCTAGACTAATTTTATCCGAAAAATTTGGACATTTTATTAAAATAAAAATCTATTCCTAGCTCATTGCGTCTTTACGATCCCATTATAAATCCGATGTTATATTTTACATAATATATTGTTTAATGTAATGAACACAACCATCGAAATTTATTTTCATTGTAAAATAATATCATATTTAGTATATTATGCCTCTGGAGAAAATGTCACCTAACTAAAATTTGTTCATATTATATTATATTATGTAAATTTATAATGTAATCCATTTTTAGAAAAATTGAATTTTTACAGCGTTTATAATAAAACTTAACGAACAAATAAATAGTAATGGCATCAGATAATCTAGACTAATTTTATCCGAAAAATTTAGACATTTTATTAAAATAAAAATCTATTCCTAGCTCATCACGTCTTTACAATTCCATTATAAATCCGATGTTATATTTTACATAATATATTGTTTAATGTAATGAACAATTACCATTGAAATTTATTTTCATAGTAAAATAATATCGTATTTAGTATATTATGCCTCCGAAGAAAATGTCACCTAGCTAAAATTTCTTCATATTATATTATATTATGTAAATCTATAATGTTATCCATTTTTAAGAAAAATTAAATTTGATAGACCGATAAAATATGAGGCAATAATCGCGATATGCAAACCATCCGACGCATTAACAAAATTATTATACATTTAATATTTCATAAACATAACAAGGATATCAAGTAAAATCAATAAACGTCATCGCAATGCTATTCTGATGTCATATTAACTTGCAATACTAAAGTTTAGATTTTTTTACACTAATATTTGGCCTTATAGTGGCTTTTTGAGTCAAGGTTCACATCATCGTTATCAGACAAAATTTGTATTTTGCCTCATTAAATCTTTTTATTTATTGATCGGTACGACAGCGAGGTTGTCGAGGCATTACAGATGTCGATACCGTGTTCTCTTCTCTGCAAACGTTTTATAATGTACACACGTGTAAATTGAAAACGAAGCTGAGATTTTTTAACAAAATATTGAGGAGTTTTGGCGGGAAATTGACCGGCGGCGGTTTGCTGCTCCTGTATTATTGTTTAAATAATGGTTCGAAGTGGACTTTGATATGTAAAAGTGTTGCGATTTTGTGTATTAAGTGTCTACGCATGTGAACTATTAGTGGAAACAGTGAAACAAGTGCTCTGATGGTGATGGATTCTCAAGATAAGCTGTTTGTTTGCATAGGCACCTTTAGATACCATCGCCAACTATCAGCTGTCTGCTGGATCAAGTTGCCGCCAAAATCTCCCAAGAACTGCACAATGTGACGCATCAACATATTGTGAAGCAGTATACTATGAAGGAGTGGGGAAATTACAATAAACCGAATAAAAATACTTAAGACTTGGCCTAAAGGTCTAGATACCAGGCCATAAACTCCAAAAAAAAAATATTGACAGATGATGTCACACTTAAAATGAGAATGCTATACAAATTCGATGTTGTAGAAGTGATAATTAAGAAGTCTCATTACAGATCGTTTCTTGATTGATCGTCCGTATGACTGGAATACAAAAAACGCTCAGCATAGCGGGTCAATGTCGAGCAATAGATTTACATACCGATACGATGCGTCCGCCTTACGGCTTCAAATTGGGTCACATGGTCATTTATTATGAAAATATGGCATTGTAATTGTTGAAATATTCTCTAGCATATAAATACTTTCCATGATTGTCTTTCGTTGTATATCGGATATATATAATCGCAAATACGGGTTTCGTCTTCACTTGATAATAATATTTGTTACAAATAACGAAAAAAATACGCATGCAACTCATAAGGCGGACTTTGCGTCACTATCGTACCAACCAACCAAGAAACGGCCTTGAATCTGCACTCAATATCCGTTCGGTATGCCGAGCGTATGTTGCACCGCAGTCGTACCTACAAACGAGACACTGCGTAACTGTTGTCCTATTAAAATCGTGAAGAGGTATATATTAAAAATACGAATTCACGTTTATTGATTGACATTGTCTCTTTTTTGTTTCTTAATCGGTACACCCCTTGTATGTTCTCTAGATTCAAGAGAGGTTCTTTTGATTGTTTTGGTTTGGTCAGATGTTAGTAATATAGTAGATGGAAAGTTTGAGCTTGTAATACTTCCTCCATTATTTAAATCACACTTCGTTACTCTAATTACTTTAGGTATGCCTTTAGGTTTTTGAAGAATGATTTTAGGTTTCTGCTTGTCTCTAGAATTTGTATTTCTCCAACTGCTCCCACTTACAACAGACACAATCCTTATTGGATCTTGAGATTGTTTTGTCGTTAAATCTACTTTCGTTGGTAAGACTTTCATTTGTTTTACGATTTTCTCAGGATAGATACGAATATCCGAAGGGCTTTTTGTTGTTTCTATATTTATTTTTTCAAACGTGCCAGCGGCTTCGCATTTTGGCTTTAAGCTAGTTGCAACATTACAATCATTAATTATTTTTGGCAATGATTTCTCACTGTCTTTGAATTTCTCTTGTGTTTTTTCTGGTTTCATTTCCTTAAGATTCACTTTACCGTCGTCGTCTTTGACCAGCATAAAAGCGCTGAAATCTTTCTTAAATTTCGTGTTTTGATCAGAATATTTTACTGAGACAATTGTATTTGCAATAATCACGGAGAGGTTAGGTATAGTAAATTCATTGAGTAGATGATTTACACTGCTTGAGGAATTATTTTCATAAGATGGATCCGCGCCAAATTTTACTAAAATTTCTGCAGTTTTTAAGAAATGTTCACCTACTTTGGACCTGTCTCCTGAAATAAATAATACCTACATATAAATAGTACATGACACAAATTATGCGAGTGGCTTACTCCTGAACAACTATGAATTTATCAAACTAAGGTAAGTAACTCTCAAAATAGATAAATATTCAAAGTCCAAGTATACTCACTCCCAGCAGCAAGGTAATCCAAGCAAGCTGCGGCGACCAGTACGTATAACGCAGTGTTGCCACAGTTAGGCATAGGAAAATTAACGGTAGTAGGATCCGCATCCAACAGAATGTTTACGTTGGTATAGTTGCCTAACTTACTGGCAAGTATTAGCGGGGTATAACCTGAAAACCAAAAGAAAAACAAATAGAAATTAATAATATAATATAATATTCCGCTCATCAGATGTCACTAGTTGACACTGAGGTTTTTGTTACACAATATTATTTTAAATGTGAAATTAGTTTTAAATACAAATTTACCAGTTTCTAAAGTATTGCCTCAGTGGTTTGTTCTTTGATGTTTTGCACATATTTAACTCTTATTTTAATTTTTCAACTTTTATGAATGTCTGTGGTTTGGTTTATTTTTTTAATCTAGTTAATATAAAATATAATTAATAGTATAAAAAGAAACATTAACCTTTACTTTTTTCGAACAAATGAAATTCCCCGCTATGAAATCTGTCAAATATTATACCTCATTATTAAGTGTCCCCGCCCTGGTGGCAAATAAGTCGTGGATGCCCCTTATTTTACGCGACCTTTTAATATTTGATGCAATACTTGCTAAGCAAAATTACCTATATTACTACACTTGAAAATGTAAGTACACTATTTTTTGTGTGTAAATAGTTAATAGAATAGCAGTTGCAAAATTTTAGCTCTGTATTATTACGGAAGACAATTGGCAAGAACGTAAAAAAGTAGATTTTATCAGTGGCCAGCGCTGACGACGTTTTAAACGATCGACAATCGTAAATTCTCTTAATTATCTAGATATTTTATGTAGAGACTGAATGAATATTAATGATGGTTCCAATTGGGTCATTGCAGAGTATGAATAAAAACAGGTCAATCGGTAAAAAAACGTTAATATACCACTTTTTAAAATAAACTAAAATATATAACACTTCTTTTTGTCTTTTTTTTCATATTCCTACTTTGGCATGAGCTATGTTCAAGATTTCAAATCTCTAGCTCATTGGGATGATAGTTTAAAATTAAATTCGACCCGAACAGAGTACACGAAAGCGAGTAAATAAAAACGTGGTAAAATAACTTGCACAAGTCAAAAAAATTATTTCAACCGAGATTATGCGTGTCTACTGCACAATTTAAATTAACTATAATTATTTAAACAAACCTTGATTATCATACATTCTGCAGATTTTTGACAAGAGATACTTTGCGATCTCTTCGTCTGATGTTGTTTCTAATTCCGGTTTCCACAAATCATTGTCCTGAAGAATATACCTATAAACCAGAAATAGGAATGATAACGTTTTTTGACTGATTTCGGTCACGGCGAGTACATACGAACATCGTCGGAAGCAGGCGTCAATCTATCTAGGAGAAGGGTCATGGGGTTCATGAGTCAGAGTACATTTTTTATTTCCTGTCTCAAACATCGATATATACGTACTACGCACTAGATTTCGCATTCCGAACATTGACTATGTTCAACTGAACTGTACTGCAATCCGTACAAACTAAATATTGCGTAAATTGAAGATTTGTGAATTCCATAAGATAATTATTATTACATTTTATTTTTAACTATAACGTATATATACGTATAACGTAAGTTTTAACAGTGGTAGAGCCACGCGGCAGCTTTTGCTGTCGCATGGATGGGCCGGCTCGAACCGGGGTAGTACCACGACCTCACAGAAAACCAGCGTGATGTAGAGATTTACCTCTGCGTTTCGCTTGGTAAGTGCAGGTGGCCGGAGGCCCTTTTTACTGGAAATGAGGCATTCCATCTTAATCCTCACGGGTGACAACGCATCTGCATTTTGATTTGCAAACGAGGATAGATGTAGATGTCTATGGGCCGCAGCAACCACTTACCATCAGGTGGACTGTGTGCTCGTTTGTCATCCTTATTCCATAAAAAAAAAATATTTAGAAATATGTTTGTTTAGATTAAAATAAGATATTTTATATTAAATTCTTATATTTATTTTATATTCATATCTTATTTTATATCAACTTAAAGTCTTCGCGCATGCGTGACTACTACTCCCGCGCATGCGCGAAGACATAGAGTAGCACACAATTTTTGTTTGGAATGGCTTCTCTAGTACGTAGTACATATAACTCAATGTTAATAATATAATTGCAGACGTAAACGGCAGAGTCGGGAATCCCTTCCCATTTCGCCATAACGAAAGTTTATCGGCCAAATTGGCAATATATTGAAAATGGGCCAGGTTAGAAGTACCCTTAACCGACGAGCATGTATCCATAGGTGTATGGATGTAAAGGAGGCGAGAGACGTGTATCAGGATCGTGCCAAATGGAATTCCGTAGTCTTTGCCTACCCCTCTGGGTACTGTATAACTGTATGTATGTATGTATTTTCAATATATTCGATGTATGTTTTTTTTATGTGTGTTACCTCATAACGTTTTTCTTGGTGAACCGATTTCTTTATTTGAAAGCTGGTGTTTCTCATGTGGTCCCATATAAATTTGATCAATGTCTGACCAATAGTTTTTAGTTATTCTTAATAATTTACATTGTAATCGGTTGTACAAAATTTTTAATTGTAAATTATTTGTCACCACTTGGTATAATATTTAAAAAAAATTACATTAGCTTGTATAATACTGAAAAAAAATTGAGAAAAAAACTACTGTATACTAGAATTCGTAAAATGGTCCAAGTTGAATCACAATTTTGAAAAATCGTATAATTTTATAACGTTGAATGTAACACTGTTAGTTTATTAAGAGTTCTTTGAAAACTTTATTAGCAAGATATTATAACAAAATGAAAGAACCATTCACAAATGAAGACATATGATAACCTTTATAAATTGTTGCATGAAACAAAAAATCAAGTGAAGATTAAAATGAATGTGTGGAGTAACGTGTTTTTATCAATATAAAAAGCATATTGTTTTTCAGGTCAAATTTCAATGAAATGTTCTCAGTGTGGCTTTAACATGTTTCGACTAAATATTCTTAAAGATAGCATTAAGTGACAGTTAAACTTACAATCCCTTGATTGAAATGGTCACTGTAGCCATTAATACTTACAGGCAATTCCAATCAAAAGTGACTGGAGATTGCCACTGAGTCAAAATTAAGGCTTCATTATCTATAATTATACTGGTATTGTACTCGCCTTACTGAACTTATACAACAGTGGAAGGTTGTTGCTTTGCCATTAGCAATATAAAGGAAGCTTCCAGTGCAAAGACATCCGGGGTTAGGAAAGTTAGCTATCTACAATCGTTAGCGCTAATAGAAAACTACAAAAATAAATGTAATCAAAGTTCTTACCATCACGTAACTCAACGTTGATTTCATTTTTTATAGTTTTCTATTCACATTAACAAATGTAAAAAGTTAAGAAAAAAAGTTAAAGTTACAGCCTATATACATCCCACTGCTGAGCACAGGCCTTCCCTTATTTCTGAGACCGTTTTACGGCAAGGAAGTGTCCGCCTCGCTGCCCCAATGCATGTTGACGAACTTCACATGTCTTCGGAATATTTTTTTTCTTATTTCGCAGACATGCAGGTGTCCTCACGATGTTTTCTTTCACCGCCAAGCACATGGTAAATCAGCACTTAAAATTTCAGTTAACAATTTCATTGGTGTCGGCGGGGATCGAACCCGGTTTGCTCACATAATGTGAAATTTATAGCAAGCGCTAACCATCTGAGCTACCACGACTACTATGTAGAAAGTTATCTTGACAAAATCCCCTCGTATATCCTAAATTAAATGGGGGGAAAAACTTAGGTTCAGCAGTAGACTGTTAAAGGCTTGATGAAGAACAGTAAAGAATTCACATCACTAAAATCTCAAATATGCGAAATTCCCGACGATTTTTATCTCCACTATTGAATATATGAAAATTTTGATTTAATCATCGCGCCAATTTCATTATTGGAGTTATTGAATCAATTTCATTCATTATTACGGGAATCGATGTCAATGTGACATCGATTCCCGTAGTAATGAATCAGCTCACCTGCTATGTAAAAAATAAAGTATAGAATACCAACTGTCAACTGCGACAGCCCTTCAATTTCAGTAAAAAATGTAATCTACTCACCGGGCGTTCCTCTGACAGTAACTGATCACCACTTTTAAGTGATCAGAGGAAACTTCGGCGGCAAGGTGTACCGTTGTTCTCTGCTCATCGTCAGTCAGTAATGGATTAGCGCCATGCTGCAGAAGCACATCGGTGCAAGATGAAGTGTCTTGAAATATGGACATCTGTAAGGCTGTCTGAAATGCAAATTTGAAATTAAATTTATATTTCTTTTAAACAGTATTGTATAGTTATATATATATATATATATATATATATATATGCAGAGTGGTGGCAATGTTATAATAGAATACAACGGAATGATTATTTGAATTTTTATTCAACATAGATTACAAATGGACAAAACGTCCATTTGTAATCTATGTTGAATAAAAATTCAAAAACAAGGAGGAGGTTCTCAATTCGACTGCATTTTTTAAGTGTGTGTTCTTGTACAAATTTTTTTAATTTTACCACTTGTAAGAAAAACGTTCCAGCCTACTACTATCTAGTCGAAATTGAGTTAGTATGAAGTTATGAACAAACCGTCCATGGGATCTATACTAAAATCTATCTATACTGTGTAAAAATACTGACAACTATACTGTCACTGTTAGTAAGAAAAAAATACTCAATGTTCCAATCCCCATGTATGGAAAACGCAAATAACTTATAATTTAAAATAAACCATGCTGCATGGAAAGATTTTAATTTTATCATCAGTTGTCGGTTACTCTTGTTCTAAACCCCGAGCATAGTCCTCTCCGTAGCTCGCTGAGCGACCTTGATCTTCCTCGTCTTAAATCCATAAGTCATCACTGGCAACACGCACTGGTGGTTGTACAATCTTGTTATCAAGGTTTGAGGTATACCTGACGAGAAGATGTGTCGTAATCTCCCGAACGCTGCCCCGACGAGATGAATCCGTCAATTGACCTCTGAGTCGAAGTTGGACTTACCTAGTCGGACTATTTGTCCCAGATAAACATGCTCGACAGCTACGAACAACTACCGGCATAGGTGTGACATGGTCGTTATACATAAACTTTGTTTTGTACATGTTTATCTTAAGACCTATCCGTTGGGAAGTACTATTAAGGTCATTAAGCGTAGTACTTAGGTCCTCCAGCGATTCTGTCATAAGGAGTATATCGTCGGCAAATCGAAGGTGAGCGATGTACTCGCCATTGATGTTAATGCCGTATTCTTTCCAGTCCAGCGGCTTGAAAACGTCTTTTAATTTTAATGCAGTGGTAAAGAGTTTCGGGGATATAACGTCACCCTGTCTTACACCTCTCTGCAATAATATAGGTTTCGTACTCTAGTTCTATATTTGGATAACCATCGTAGTCCTACTGTGCAAACACTTCAGCATTTCGATATACCGACAGTCAACTTGGCGCCGCTGAAGGGACTGTAGCACCGCCCAAATTTCGACGAAATCAGGCTTTCTCATAGGCCAAATACGCAAGACAAAGTAGCAGATTATACTCTTCGATGTTCTGAACAATTTGCCGAAGGGTATGTAAGTGGTCTCTAGTGCTCAGCCTTTTCCGAAACCGGCTTGTTCGGGACTATTCGTTATGACTCTCGAAAACAGCACGTAGGCGCGACTCAGAAAGGAAATCGGTCTGTAGTTGTTCAAAGGAGCGTTGTCGCCTTTCTCGAAGAACAAGACCACCGCACTTCTGCTCCACGCCTCCGGAGCAGTGACACCACGAAGAACGGAATTAAAGAGCTTCTGAAGGGCTTCAAGTACCAGTTTTCCACCCGCTTTCAGAAGTACCGCTGTATTTCCATCTTGCCCGTGAATTGTCGTTTTTAAGGTGCTGAAGAGTCATTCTAATCTCGCTCAGACTGACGTCCGGAATATCATCGGAATAGTTTCGGATAACATTTGCTTTTTGATCGTTACTCACACTTGGGTATGCTCCAACGATGACGTGTACAGCAGAAATGGGCAGCTATAGAACCTGTCAATCTCACTCAAGATCTCAGGTGTCCCGGAAACGAACCTACCACATACTGTCTTCAACTTCGACAGTTGGCTCTTTTCTGGCAGACAGATCTCTGGCAAAGACTTTTGAGCCCTGGTTTCGCTCGATCGCTTCTTCAATACTAGCAATATTGAAGCTGCGTAAGTCCCGCCGCATGCATTTGGAGATATGTCTGTCCAGTTGCCTGTACGCTGTCAAATCTGCTCTTAGTTGGTGTTTTTACCGCCTAGAAATACTTGAGCACCAAGAAATCCTTTCAGTTAAGTTAAGATTAAAAGGCTGTGGCGCTGCTCGTTTGGCGTGCCTTGCCGCCACTCGGGATCGCTATGACTCGTCCACTTCGGAATAGTGTCGGTTTTACTGCACAAATCAAAGGCACTCGCCTGCACTCGGCAAATCGCGTCCACATGTTTTTCGGCCGTGTCAGTTATAGCTTGGCGTCCGTCCCGGTAAGATGTTATGTTTTAATTAAGTTGCAACTTCAAAATAATTTCGACAATGTCACTGCGTCTTCTTTTTTACAACTTTACAATGGAGTATACTGACATGGAAATTATATACACTCATTAAATAAATAGCAGAAACTGCAATAACTTCTAAGCCGTCCATATCGTACCAATTCTCAATGAAAACTAATTACGGCTAACATGTGGATAGCCCCATAAAAACTCGTGAACATTGGCAGTTGACTTTGGTCTCTTTCGAACTTGACCAACCGTGTAGACTGTAGCACTCGCCTTGTATCAATTTGTCTACGCTCGCATTGGCTGAGGCTTTTTTTTTTTTTTTTTTTTACGGGGGGAAATCCTCATGGACTACCTCCGCCTGGGGAAAGGCGGAGGGGCGTGCCGGACTCTTACCGGCTAAAACCAACCCGGTGTCTCCTCACACGTGCGCGTGGGGCCGCGGGAATCCAAATTCTTCCGCAGCCCCACACTAGTGCTGGCCCGGTCCGTCCGGGCCTCGTCTCCTGCACGGGGTAGTGAGGTGTTAAACTACCCCGTGTATCGCCTCAGGGGCGCGCGCCGACACCCGCGCGCGCCTCCGCCTCGGGTCCATCGAGTAGGGGTGGCGGGGGCTTCCCCAAAACCCTCGCCCCTGGACCCATTTATGGGGGCCGGAAAAGGGCGTTGTCCGCCCTTCTCCTGCGCCCGGTGCGCCTTCTGCGGCCAGGGAAGGGAGTCGAGATCTCCCTTTCCCGTTCCGCAGTTTCCTTTTGCGACATCACGTCCTCGCAGAGCATTGGCTGAGGCTTGGCCAACATGTATTGCCGGGGTTAGATGGTATATACTTAATTAAGTATTGAGTTGAAAATTAAAGTTAAAACTCACCAAATTACCATGGCCCATTAAATCAATAGACTCATTTCTGCTTTTCAACACTACGCACTGCCTTCTCAGCAATTCAACGTCATTATTCAATACTGCCAAATGAATAGGTCTGAAAAAAATTATCAATGTTAATTTTGTGTAATGTATAGTGGTATTGTCCAAAAACATACATATATTTTTACACCCCACTATGCCTCAATTCAGTGGCGTGATCCCAGGTAGGGTCATGGCTCTGGGCGAATATTTTACAGGGCGGCATTGTGGCGATAAAAGTTAATTCCCGGTTTATCTTTTTCAATGACACCAATAAAATTCCCAAATAATATGATTATTAACTGTTATCAGGATATTTTCGATCCCGTGTAGTGGTGGTGAAAGAATATTCACTCCCCAATATTGTCCCTTGGGTGTGGTAAGGGGCGACTTACATCGATGCCTGCAAAACCAGTATTTATTTATTTATTTTATATAATAATAATAATAATAATAGCCTTTTATTCCTAAAAATAGGGTTACAAGAGGTCCCTAAGTTCGGTGTGCCTTTTGGCATAGGCCTCCTCCAATTCCTTCCAATGGTTCCTGTCCCTTGCTACTTTCAACCAGAATGGTCCGGCTGTCTGTTTCAAGTCGTCTTCCCATCTCCTGACTTGACGACCCCTGCCTCTTTTGCCGTCTCTTGGTTGCCAGAGAGTGACTTGCTTGCTCCATTTGTTAATGGGGTGGAATTTATTTTATATAAGACCCGATAAAATACTGCGGTTGCCAACCCGCTCGCCAAGCGTGGCAACTATGGCAAATACCCCCCAATTATGAGAGTCGTGGAAACTGTCCATGCGGTCGGAGCTAAGTTCTGCAAGACCCGCCGCAGACGAACACAAAACTCTACGATCACACTCTCAATCTCATGGCTGTTAGACGGGAGATGAAGCTACATTCTTCAACAGATTTGACAGCATACAGGCAACTGAACAAACAGATCTCCAAATGCATGCGGCGGGACTTACGCAACTTCAATACAGCTTGTATTGAAGAAGCGATCGAGCGGAACCTAGGCTCCAGTCTTTGCCAGAGATCTGTCTGCCAGAAAGAGCCAACTGTCAAAGCTGAAGACCGAATGTGGCAGCATCGTTTCCGGGGCACCTGAGATTTTGAGTGAGATTGAGAGGTTCTATGGGCAGCTGTACACGTCATCGTTGGAGCCACACGCAAGTGTGAGTAACGATACAAGAGCGAGTCTTATCCGACACTATTCCGAAGATATCCCGGACGTCAGTCTGAGCGAGATTAGAATGGCTCTCCAGCACCTTAAAAACGGCCGGGGCCGAGGCGAGGATGGAATTACAGCGGAGCTTCTGAAAGCGGGTGGAAGACCGGTACTTAAAGTCCTTCAGAAGATCTTTAATTCCGTCCTCCATGGTGGCATTACACCGGAGGCGTGGAGCAGAAGTGCGGTGGTGTTGTTCTTCAAGAAAGGTGACAACGCAAGGAGTCAGTACGAATCGTCTCGCGCGCAGACTTGACGACTTCCAGCCTCCCGAACAAGCCAGTTTCCGAAAGGGCTTTAGCACCATACATACCCTTCGGCAAGTTGAAGTTGACATGGACAAAACAAAGATCATGTTTAATGTCCATGTCACGCCTATGCCGGTAGTTGTTGGGAGCACTAAGCTCGAAGTTGTTGACGAGTATGTTTACCTGGGACAAATAGTCCAATTAGGTAAGTCCAACTTCGACCGAGAGGTCAATCGACGGATTCAACTCGGTTGGGCAGCGTTCGGGAAATTACGGCACATCTTCTCGTCAGGTATACTTCAAAACTTAAAACGAGACTGTACAACCAGTGCGTGTTGCCAGTGATGACATACGGAACTGAGATGTGGTCTTTCACTGTTGGCTGGATGAGGAAGCTCAAGGTCGCTCAGCGAGCTATGGAGAGGGCTATGCTCGGAGTTTCTCTGTGTGATAAACTCAGAAATGAGGATATCCGCAGTAGAACCAGATTGACCCAAATAGCCAAACGGATTAGTAAACTGAAGTGGCAATGGGCCGGCCATATAGCTCGAAGAACCGACAACCGATGGGGAAGAAAGGTTCTCGAGTGGCAGCCTCATACCTGCAGGCGAAGTGTTGGGCGTCCCCCCACTAGATGGAGTGACGACCTAGTAAGATATGCAGGAAGTCGATGGATACAGGTGGCTCAGGACCGTGCTTTGTGTCATTCCTTGGGGGAGGCCTATGTTCAGCAGTGGACTTGTGAAGGGCTGTATTGATGACGATGATGATATGATGTAACTAGAAATTTATGCTTTTCGCAATTTTTCCTTTATCTGGGTTATAATACGTTGCTTCGTACCAAATTTTAAGATTCTGAGTTCACGGGAAGTACCCTGTAGGTTTTGATTCCCTTGCAAATGTCGAAAATTTGCGCCATAAACGGCTATATCTTTTGATTGCATTGGCTTAGAAGTTTGATTTTTTTCTCAGCTCTAAGGGACAGTAGACTTGAGTATTTGATATGAATTTCAGCTTGATACCTCCACGCGTTCCTGAGAAAAAGGGTCTTGACAGACAGACAGACAGACAGACGGACAACAAAGTGATCCTATAAGGGTTCCGTTTTTTCCTTTTGAGGTACAGAACCCTAACAAGGCTAGTATAACTTTCTGGCAATGACCTTAATCATTGGAATAAGAGTAGTCCCCCAAACATATGAATGAGGGACTCTACTCTGTCAATTCTAATCAATAGAATTTACACCAAAATTCCTATGCTACAAGCCAAATATGACAAGATCCCCAAAAAATTTTGTTTGATAAGAGAAATAAGATCCAATTAAATGGAACTAGCCAGTCTTAACCAGGATTAAACCCAAAACAACTTAGAATTTTCACAGACGGTTCTAAACAAATGCAGGTGCATGATCTAGTTCTTTTATGGAAGACCTCAACATCCACATATATACACCATTGGGTACCCACAACAGTGTTTCAGGCTGAATGTATGAGTATTATTCAAGCGGCCATAGCAATATTTAGATACCAGAAATATATATAAATAAGAAGATAAAGGACTTCACCATCAAAAGACTGCAGCATGGCAGTACTACAGGCTCTGAGTTACAATATGGTGAACTTGGAGCTAATAAATGAATGCCAGTAACCACTAAATGAGGTATGTAAATACAATGTGACTCTACAATGGATCAAGAGCAAGTGACACAGTGGATCCAGGGGCTAACAATCAGGAGACGAACGGCCTGGAGAGGATCTGCTCAGTCACTACAGGGTTGGAACCAATCATACCAATTCCTTTTTGTAAAATTAATGCACAGGTACGTAAGTATTTAACTAATCAACAAGCACAGCTTTGAAAATCCCTAGAAGACTGTAGGCAAGCTAGGGAAGGGCCACCAGTGATAAACAGTAGTTTAACCAAGGTCTTAATAAGATTAAACAAACCACAGATCAGGATAGCAACAAGTGCTATTTCAAGACATGGCTCTTAACAAACATTTATACACCATAGGTGCTTTCTAATATGTGCAGCTTGATTCAATGTTATACTACAATTGAACTTACAACAAGAATTTTGCATGACAGAAAGAATTTCTTCAAAAAATTGATCTATTCTATGACAAAAACAAAAATTTGCAATCCTCTTTAGAAATCTGTAGACCTACACATATTTTGAAATAGCATTTACGGAATTCTACAGAATTTTTTACACCAATCTACAAATTTAATTCGAGTTGGCAACACTGCCCTGTGCAGAACATGTATTGGAGAAGAGGAAACGGCGACCCACGCGTTGCTGGCATGTCCAGAAATTGCTGCATACAGGGCTAAACATCTCGGCACGCCGAGATAATTCCCCAAAGTTGAACTTGAGTTTGTGAGCGATCGCAATGAGTGCTATTATTTGTTACTTATTAGACTATTTTTCCACAACATGATTTGAAACCCACAAAGTAAAAAGAGTACCATGTACAAGTTAAAAAAAGGTTGTCAACCCCTAAAACTTTCAAATTTTCATAATATCCAGAAACGATGCTGTAGGCATGAACTACTTGCAAAATAATGAATATTTTGTTCTGGATAAATCTTCCAAAAATGTAATTTGAGCGAGTTATAACAATTTTTAAAAAGACACGAGTCGCATGTCATACGCCATACACAAAAACAATCATCCGCACTGAACCGGTTAAGAGTGTGTGCCCTTTGATATAGAGAGTGATTTAATGTATCAGTTTATATGAAAACCAATAAGTTTAAATAATATTCACTTAAAGAATGGGATTGAAAATGGCATTGCCTCTATTAACCTCTCACTCACACACTGTTGCTATCTATACTCACACACCCACCGGTAGATTGCAAGAAATAATACATAGTGATATGCGTTTTTTGTACTTTCTATAACTTCAGTCCATCTTGTCATTGGAATAAATGATAATGCTATAAAATACAAAATTCCATATTCTACAAATAAATTCAGTTCAATTTTGCAATTTTTTCAGTTCGAATTTGTGATCAATGACGCATAATTATTGTCAATTTTATTTGTTAAGATTTTTGTATAAAATATTTACAAGCCATTGTAACATGAGTAAAGTCATGGATGGTTTCTCATTCGATCCCACCTAGGCAAAGCCAGAGTGGATAGATAGTTATTAATATCAATTTAAAATAAATATAGCTACTTGTGTGTTGAATTCTTTCCAAACATTTTCCCATTAAAGAAAATTTCCAGTAAAGCAAATAATATAATGTTAGAACAATATACCATTATTAGCAGGTTTTCATTATTGGTACTGGTTTTTTTTATAGGTAAGGGTGACACAAGACTGTACTGTGACCCATAGACATCTACATCTATCCTCAATAAAGAATCAAAATGCAAGTGCATTGTCACCTGTGAGGACTAAGATGGAATGCCTCTTTTCAAGTAAAAACGAGTCTGGTTCTCTACACTCACCATATGAAACACTGCAGTGTTAAGCTGCTATTTTACACTGGTATTCTGTGAGAGCTTGCTCCTTCCCCGGCATAGCCTACCTATTTGTGTTACAACTATACTACTAATATAGCTGCAGCATGGCTCTACCACATATAGACTACTGTGCATGTTGACAATAATACAGGCTCAATGAACCACCATTTCTAATACCATTCTTTATATTCTATTTGTTTGTAACATAACTTGGTTTAGTACTTACAAATTACCGTCCTCATCACTATTTAAACAGTGTTTCCAATCAATATATGCCTGATTCCACAACAATTTGCTCTGTTCTTCGGGATTTAAATATTTTAGGATATCTGATGTAGCAATATGAAATTGATCTTCCGGCTTGCCTTTTATTTTAACTTGACTACCATCTAACATTGTGAGAGATGTGGATTCCAAAAATGTAGGTTCCTGAGTATGTTTATCTATGTCATTTAGTAAAGCAGTAGGGTTCTCAACTAGTAAATTTGGTATACTGGAACTGGTTATGGAAATATTACCATAACTTAATTCTGATATATTACTGTCCTCGTCCACAATTTCCCTTAAGTCTGGAAAAGTTGTTTCATTACCACAACTAAAACTTTCAATTTTAATATTACTTTCATTTAGTGTATTACTTGCAAACTGGTTGCCAGTAGTTTCACTTTGTATATAGGGCTCCTTAAATTGTGAATGATGATTTTCACTTGAAGTACTATTCTTATTTAAAAATATTCTGTCTACCTTGAATTTCTGTTCAATATCTACAGGATTTTTTTTGTAATGTTGACTTTCAGTTTTAAAAAATTCTTCACTACGTTTAATTAACTCTTTCGTAGCCTCAAAGTGTTGGGGATCTATTACAACTTTCTTAACATTTCCTGTAGACTTTGAATCCTTCACAACATAGGGTCCCAATACTGGTTTCCTTAATTTTTTTCTTGATTTAAGTCGCTGTAATAAGACTGAACAAGTCTCATCTGTTTGGCTTGATACTGATGTGACATTAGACTTTTTACTATCAATTACTCTTTCAGGTTTTAGATTATCAATTACTTTTTCAGAGATCACTTCATTATCAGGATTTACAAAAGCAGTTTGATATTGACAAGAAATATTCTTAGTCCTTTTGGGCACTGTCAGTAAAGCTAAGATACCTTGTATACGAAGTTCCTGACTAATAACAGAACATAACGCAGAAAATACAATATCATAATTCTTTTGACCAATTAATTTCGTAATATCATCAGATGTTCGTTCAATATTCCCCAATATTTCACTAGAATACTGAGCGGTTGTACGACTGCTGTTAGTAAGTAAATCTAATTTATTCACGATCGTCAGGTTAGGGTATTCCCCTTTCATGAAATCACCTTTTTGCGATCGATATATTATATCTTCTTTAAGGGGTCGAGCAATTTTAATGGAACGTAGTAAGGAAGTATCATTATTATAATCTTTTTTCAGAATAGACGTTCCTTTCTTTTTGATATGTAACGGTATTTTAGGCACACAAGTATCCATCCTTCAATTTCTATTATATTTCAATAGTAGTTGTGGCTAAGTAAACAACACTACACAATATGAAAATCACTAATTTCACTTAACCCCACTTTAACTATAAGACTGTTTATTGACCACATATATAATAACACCAAAAATAATACAAACAGCCCTTGTGTAATTAAATTTCAAAAAAATATATTAACTTTAATCACAATGTAACCACTTCTTTGGGTGTTTAAATAAAATAATTTACACCTGAAAACTAAACTATTGGGGGCCCGCCTAAGGATATCTATGTATTCTCTTGTTCTTAATGTCAATGCTCTGTGGTGTTCCGTGTTCTGTGCTTTGGGGTAACCCCGCTGATATCTATAGATAGGTACTTATGAGACTATAATATATGCATTGTCTATTTGACTGACATTATGGGTAACCCCCACAAACCAAAGAGTAAAATGTAGAGTAGATATCAGATCTTGGATATAATATGTCTCTCTTAGATAAAGGTACCTAAACATAACCACACTTGGATTTTTTTTTGAGTTTTCTTTATTTTTAATTAATTGTTCGTCGTTTGTTCGTTTATTCTTCCAACATAAAAATTGTGTGTTGGTCTTTTAATCATTTATAATTAATTAAACAAATTTCATTCTTAGGCTGCCCCCTTATTGTAAATTTTAACATCCCTTAAATTATTTATTTTTTACTTAAATATCGTTTGTTCGATCGCTATTGATGATATTTCGATCACACAGCTTAATTGTTAATTATTCAATGTTTTAAGTAGTCGACGGAGCCCACTGGGCGGGGCTTCTATTACTGGGTGGTTTATAAAAAAGTAACCACGAAGGGGATAGCAGGGGTCTGTTCGATCTTTCACTCGACCCGGGAATCCCCTTCTAACCTAACCTGTCCGAGTGGGGGTGCCCCAAGCCCCTAGCTCGCACCGCTCGCTTTTATGGTCAATTATTAATAGAAAAAAGAAAGTTAAAACTACGAATAACTATCTGCTTTAACTCCAAAAAATAACATAATGTATATTTAATCTATATATATATATATATATATATATATATATATATATACAACTTCAATACTGATTCTCATCGAATAGGTAACTGTAAAATATTCGTATCGGATTTCAACAGCGTAGTCATGGACCTAGAAAAAAGGGCTGACGCCGTGTCTTAAAACAATTACTGACGCACCCATACTAAGTCAGCTCGCTAATACAAACAAGCCGGCACGCACACATGCACACCATCGCTGAAGCAAATACTTCCAGTGTTTCGCATGGGATACGTACTAATAAAGTATCATTAAAGAAAAACCTGTTAGGGAGAGAATGGTTTTTTAATCGACTTAAAAAAGGAGGTTTTCAAGTCGACTGAATGTTTTTTTTTTTTTAAGTTACACCGACAATCTCAAACCGTTTTCGATGATTCCTTTTTAGTTGAATAGGTTACGAGTATACTACAATGTTTTTCACCGATATGTATTTCTTTTCTTTTAGAAAAGATATTTTTAAAAAAATAAACTTTTTTTTAAAGTTTGTATTAAATAAACTTAAAAGAACTCTTTTGTTGTACTTGCGAGATAGTGATCCGAAAGCATTTAAGAGATAATATAACTATATATACTGAAAGACAACATCAGTACATACTAACCAAAATTCTGGAAAAATTTATAGCTAACGACAGGATTTTTTTAATTTAGAATTTGACCATGCATTTGCTGGAGTAGAACATAAAATAGCTTTAATTAAATATATAGCTAAAAAATATCTGAATATTCGTTTTCACCATATAGCTAAAGTGGAGGGGATTTCTAAATCTTTTGACAGTAAAAGACAATATTATAAAAGATTAACTAAACAAAAGGGTCTCTAAAAACCGTTAATAAAATTGTAATGTAAATTAAATATAATATTAATAAATGTAAATATTTTTATATTCAATGTGTTTTATTACAATTTTGTTTTATTAAACTTAAAGTCCTGGTTCCGAGGATGGTGACGAATGTCTTAAACCTAATTGAATAATATTGCTTGTAAAAATGGGTAATTTTCCTCCATCTGGCAACCCTCTACACGCCTGTCACTGCGACGCTTCAATTGTTTCCTTAGCGAGACTCTGTCCGCCCTTTTTTCTAGGTCCATGATCGGAGTAGAAAATATAAAAGCGTACGCAGAATATCTATATATTGAATATATAGTTTTGGTATCAGATATTGAAATTCAAACTCTGATATAGATACGATTCTCAGAAAACGCGATACGACCCAGGTCTATAACGTATTATGGAGAGATGTGGTTGCAAACAAAGAGAATATAACCACTACGTTTAAGAGGCGGGACTTCCATGGTAAAAGTAAAAGCATGAAAGTACGACAAGCTACTCTACCAACATCAAGATATGACGTTTAGTTTTAACAAACAGTGTTGACAACATTGACGAATTACAATAGCGCTGTAAATGGCTATCCTCGAATAATTTTATCGATATAACCTTTATCGCTATATTGTTTATCGATATTTTTACATAATAAAAGTTAGATCTCTGTACTGAATTATTTATGAGAAATAATTTTTTTAACGTGGGGATCGAATAAAAATGCCGATGAGAATAAGAAATCAATGTATTTTACACAGCAATTTGTAAATATATCTCTACAATTAGGTACAAAAATAGTATAAAGAAAATATAAAATAAAAAACGCACTATTATATACTAATATGACCGGGACGCTCAAGTCATATGAAGAAAGACTGTCTCATTTTAAGATCCCATCATTGGAAACGAGAAGAAAAATTATTGATTTATTGTTCTTAAAGAAATTGGTGACTGGATTTTTGGACTGTCCCGATCTTCTTAGTAAGATAAATTTTAATGTACCGCATCGGTTGCCTAGATCCTGTAATAGCAAATTATTTGTTGCACCTCAAGGTCGAACTAATTTAAGATCACATTGTTCTTTAACAAGAATGTTTGCATTATATAAAGAATACCAAAGCAGAATAGATCTATTCTCAACCTCGATGGCTGGCATCAAAAAAGTAGTTATCGGCGATTAATGCTAAGTTGTAATGGAAGTTTCTTCATTATTAATTAAAATTAAAATTTTATTGGAGTTAAATTGTACCTATGTACTGTTGTACAATCAACGTAAAGTCTCTTTTTTATGCATGTGGTGCCCTCCTATAAGTAATGGGACATTTGGTTTTAATAATTGTGATGCCATTCCATATGTATGTAACAGTGTACTCATTGTTGTGAGAGCCTAATAAAATAAATAAAATAAAATAAATAAAATAATTAATTAAGTAAAAAATAAACGACGACTCCGTAGCGCAGTGGCTAAGCGTTTGGCTGCGGCATTGCAGGACCGAGGCTTCGTTCCCACACTGAACAATTGTTGCTATGCCGTAAAATAAATAGTCTGCGTCTGGATGCTTGTTTTCAACGTTTGTTTTTTTTTTAAAGGGTAATAATATTAGGTTTTTAACACTGATTGGATTAAATTGCTTTTGAGAGGAGAGGTACCTATATACATAATATTCGCAGAGATCGTTTACTAATTGTCGCTTTCAAAATGAATGCTCATTATAGCTAATGTTTGTAGATGAATCTTTAAAAGAATTATTTATAACCAGGTAATTATTATTTTTTTATGGGAGAGGGGGCAAACGAGCATGCGGCTCACCTGATGGTAAGTGACTACCGCCGCCCATGAACAACTGCAACACCAGGGGAATCGCAGATGCGTTGCCGGCCTTTTAAAAAGGAGTACGCTCTTTTCTTGAAGGTCCCTAAGTCGTATCGGTCCGGAAAAATCACTGATGGTAATCGATTCCACAAGGAGGTCGTGCGAGGAAGAAAACATCTTCTAAATCGCACAGTGGTGGACCGCCAATCATCCAGATGGTGTGGATGGTATCGGGAGTTCTGCCGCGATGTGCGTTCGTGAAATTTGGCGGCTGGGATTAATCCGAACAATTCCTCAGAGCACTCCCCACGGTAGATGCGAAAGAAAATGCAAAGGGATGCAACATCTCTTCGCAGTGCCAATGAATCGAGCCGATCGGAAAGGTCTCGGTCGTCGACGATTCGAGCCGCTCTGCGTTGGATGCGGTCAAGTGGAAGGAGCTGGCACTGGGGAGCCCCTGCCCAGAGATGGGAACAGTATTCCATGTGAGGCCGAACTTGCGCCTTGTAAAGTTGCAGGCGGTGTGCCGGCATGAAATACTGTCCCGCTCTGCTGAGCACGCCAAGCTTTTTAGAGGCCAATTTGGCCTTCCCTTCCAAGTGACCACGAAACTGCATGTCACTCGATATGTCGACTCCGAGGATACCGATACTGGCTGAGGCAAGAAGGGGAGTGCCTTCAAACTGAGGAGATACGACAAAGGGGTTCTTTTTAGCGGTAAACGCGCAAACTTGTGTCTTCTGAGGATTAAACTGGACTAGATTTAGTCGCCCCCAATCCGAGACTTTGTTCAGCAAAGACTCGACTTCAGACACAAGTTTGTTCCGGTACTCAGCGACGTTTTCCCGAGAAATATTGGCACGGCCGGTGTATAGAGCATCACCAGTGCTGTCATCCGCATAGCAATGAATGTTACCAGTTAGCAACATATCATTGATATGCAAATAAATATAAATAACTTTAAGTTTATTTATTTAATCGAATTCTTACCAAAATGTGACTAGAGGAATATTATCTTTTGCTACATATCAATGAAACCTAATTACCATACACATAATTGTGGAAGTTTAAATTAAGTCCACTGATGAAATAACAGTTCGTTTTAGTTGGGTTCAAATGCAATGTTTGCCACAAATATGTTTTAACACGTGAATCTTTTCAATTGGTGCATGTGCCAGCTATATCAACCATCGCTTGCATCTGAAAAAATAAAATAAATAAAGTCACATTTTTATTGAACAAATAGAATATTAGCAGTCACAATTGTGTAGTTTCTAAGTATAGTTCGTTTCGAATTGCCATATCATCGAACT